ATGTATTGCTCCAGACTATGAAATTAATGTTTTGTAGTGTAAAAAACACACTAAAACACCTGACTTCAGTGAGCTCATAGAGCAGATACAAATATTTTTCATGTCATAATTCTGCAGCATTATTTGTTAAGTAGCAAGTCCATCAGCCATACATTTATAGTAGGAGCTTATCTGGTGCTTGTTGATATAAAAATTGGGTTTCAATCACAGATAGGATGAGCAAGTTGTATTATATTTTAATGTATTTATTATAAGTTTTAAACCTAAATTTCTGGACCAAATTTTGTTTTCATATATAAGCATTCAGTTCCCACTGACTAAGTGTTGCTGTATTTGCATGTCTGAGGGTTGAATTTGGACTAAAATAAACTTTAATTTATTTAGATTTCTTGATATGCCTATCTTTATCTCTATATGCTTTATGATAATTGAAAAATGCAATACAAAATTACCATCCACTAATACATATTGAATTGCCTATGTAGTATAACAAAATTAACCAATGTTAATAACTCTGTGTATGGCTACTTATATCTCTCAAACCACTTCTTCCTCAAATGCCTGACAGGGAGAATACTGTATCCTTAGGACACCACTGGAATTAGTCAATTCAGTCCAGATCTCAAGGATTTTATCCCCAAAGTTCTATGTGGAGTAACAGGGAGGAGGCTTATGTGTTGGGAGAAGTGGATATAAATGAGGAGATGTAATGCGGAGAGGAAGAAATCACGGTTTTATGTTGCAAGGGTTGGATGAAACTTTAACTTAGAGTTGTTGTTTTGCTTCTTTGTTTTAGTTTTTATTTCAGGGGTGTGTGTGTAGGGGGGTGTGGGTCGCCTGGTTGTGTGTGTTCAGTTGAGCAATCTTAACTGTTTTTAGTTAGTTGGGTTGGTTTTTTGTTTGTTTGGAGAAATGAATAGAATGAAATCCTAACCCTGTTGAAGTCAATGGAAGTTTTGCCGTTGACTTCAGTGAGGTCAGAATTTCACCCATTATTATATATAATTACATTTTTAAAAAAGTTTAAAAGGACACTTAGTTCACAAGGTCAACCTGTCAAAAGTTAGGAAATGCCAAATGTAGGTTACCCAGGCTGCCTCCTAGTGTGTATGCATTCTGATAGTCTTTAATTATATCGTTTTCTAGCTCTTAATCTTAAACAGTTGAATTCATGAAAAGAACAGGAGTACTAGTGGCACCTTAGAGACTAACAAATTTATTTGAGCATAAGCTTTCGTGGGCTAAAACCCACTTCATTGGATGCATTCAGTGGAAAATACGGTGGCGAGATTTATATACATAGAGAACATGAAACAATGGGTGTTACCATACACACTGTAACGAGAGTGATCACTTAAGGTGAGCTATTACCAGCAGGAGAGCGGGGGAGAGGGGGAATCTTTTGTAGTGATAATCAAGGTGGGCCATTTCCAGCAGTTGACAAGAACGTCTGAGGAACAGCGGGGATGGGGTGGGAAAATAAACATGGGGAAACAGTTTTACTTTGTGTAATGACCCATCCACTCCCAGTCTCTATTCAAGCCTAAGTTAATTGTGTCCAGTTTGCAAATTAATTCCAATTTAGCAGTCTCTCGTTGGAGTCTGTTTTTGAAGTTTTTTTGTTGAAGATGTGTGGATGGGTCATTGCACAAAGTAAAACTATTTCCCCATGTTCCCCCCCCCCCCCACGGTTCCTCAGACGTTCTTGTCAAATGCTGGAAATGGCCCACCTTGATTATCACTACAAAAGGTTCCGCTCCCTCCCCCGCCCCCTGCTCTCCTGCTGGTAATAGCTCACCTTAAGTGATCACTCTGGTTACAGTGGGCATGGTAACACCCATTGTTTCATGTTCTCTATGTATATAAATCTCCCCACTGTATTTTCCACTGAATGCATCCGATGAAGTGAGCTGTAGCTCACGAAAGCTTATATGCTCAAATAAATTTGTTAGTCTCTAAGCTGCCACAAGTACTCCTTTTCTTTTTGCAATTACAGACTAACACGGCTGCTACTCTGAAACCAGTTGAATTCATTGTAATTCTCACCTGTGTCTGAAGCCTGAGGGATATGGAGAGCTAGACCCAATAAAATACTTTAAAACTATTTTAAACAAGTTTTTGGGTTTTATTTTTTTGTTTTTGTAATATGTAGTATTTACATATGCATGATGGTGAGGTGTGACTAATGCAGCTGTCTCAAACTCATGTGAAATCATCATCCTTATACCACATATTCTTTCTCTATCAGCATGCATTACTTTTTGATTACTCCCTTGTCTTTTTCTACCTGTTCCTGTTTGGTTTTTAACTGGTTTTTAATTTGAACCAAATATCTCTCTCTCATTTACACATACATACACACACTCTCTTCTTTCATCTCTCCCTCTCCCCTTGGCCAATTTTTTTATTTAGTCCTCAGCTTCCTTTTACATGGCAGAAGTTATAAAGCATAGCGCAAGTAATCCTAAAGAGTCCAAAGCATATTAATTCTGGTAGTGTCAGTGAACTACTGAATATTACATGATGTCATTGCTCTATATCAGCAGGGTGCTCCAGCTATGTAAGATGTCCCCTTTTGAGGCTCCTGGGGGATTTGCCATCCATGGGAGAATGGTCCTGAGGCAGCTGCCATAAGGGTACTGTGGAGGAGCTAGAAGTCACTGGGCCTTTGTGCACTGTATCAGCCCTCCTGGCTAGATGGTCTTTGGGCATGTCTACACTTACCTCCGGAGCAATTGATCCAGCGAGGGTCAATTTATTGTGTCTAGTGAAGATGCGATAAATCAACTGCCAAGCGCGCTCCCGTTGACTCAGGTACTTCCCTGGAGCGAGAAGGGTAGGCGGAGTCGCCAGGGGAGCGTCAGCAGTCGACCTACTGCAATGAAGACACCGCAGTAAGTAGCTCTAAGTATGTCGACTTCAGCTACGCTATTTTCATAGTTGAAGTTGCGTAACTTAGACCGACTTAGCTTGCCCCCACCCCCTAGTGTAGACCAGGCCTAAGGAGAGGTGAGAGGGCAGAGCATAGAGCATTCAGTGCCTGCTCTCGCCGTGTCTGCTGCTGCTATGCTGTTCCTACCGGGATAGTGACTTCTTTCTGTGTCCCGTTTTTCCCTGCTATAAAAGGATTACAACATTGTAAATGAGAGTATAATTGAGCCTTCACCATTTTTATTACTATAGATTTTGTGTGAGAAGGAAAGCACATGCTTAACTCTCAGAGCCCAGTTTGGTTTGCATGGATGAATCTTGGTGTGGGTACCACACTTCTACTTGGAAACTAAGCAGTCCATATTTGAGTAAAACTCTCAATGATTCAGTTTTGCTGGAGCAAGAGCTGTAAAATTTGGCCCATCTGAGTATTTCCAAATTCTGATGATATGCTCTATAAAACATGTCGCTCAGTTATGTGATGAAGGCTCCCTGCATAACCCTTAGATGGTCACTCATCTGTCATATCACTGCCTAAGATCTGTCAATCGCCTGAATAATTTAGAAGATATCCTGTAGAACACATTTTTTCCTGTTGCAACAAAAGTCTTTCATAATTACAAATAAGTAATGGCATAATATTGCACATTAAGACAAGGGTGTGTGTGTGTGTGTGTGTATTTGAAGTGGTATGGCTGGCTACACATTATGAGCTATTAGACATTTTAGATTGCAGAGATAGAGGTTTTTGACGGGCACTAATGCACATAGCAAATAAATGGTAGGAAAAGTTAGGTTTTATTTTTACAATATGTTTGTGCGAATTTTCACCAACTGTTTATCTATTAAATTGCAATGGAGGACCATGCATAACCATTCTGGTAGTGCAAAAAATCTCTCTGAAAGTTTTCTTTCAGTTAATGTTGTTACAGAAAATATTAACTAAAATAAACCATACAGCACATCAGGTCGTGTGACTTACTAGTGAATGGTGAAAATGGGTCTGAGACTTATTCTGAACTTTTAGAACCATTTTGATCTGGAAATCAGATTGAAATCTCTATAGAAACCTGGGTGGGGTAGGGGGAGAGAGGCTGAGAGATTTACAGTACCATGTGTTTTCATCCATGTTGAAAATAGAATGAGATTTCATAGATTCCAAGGCCAAAAGGGACTATTATGATCATCTAGTCTGACCTCCTGTACAACACAGGCCATAGAACTTCAACCAAAATAATTCTTAGAGCGTATCTTTTAGAAAACATTAAATATTGATTTCAAAATTGTCAGTGATGGCAAATCCACCATTACCCTTGACAAATTGTTCCAAAGGTTAATTACTCTCACTGGTTTAAAAAAATAAAAAAAATTACCTCTTATTTCCAGTCTGAATTTGTCTAGCTTTAACTTCCAGCCACTGCATTGTGTTAAACCGTTTGCTGCTAAGTTGAAGAGCTCATTATTAAATATCTGTTCCCATATAGCTACTTAGAGACTGTAATCAAATAAACCCTTAACCTTCTCTTTGCTAAGCTAAATAGATTGAACTTTTTGAGACTATCACTGTAAGAAATGTTTTCTAATCCTTTAATCATTCTCATGGCTCTTCTCTGAACCCTCTCCAATTTATCAACATCATTCTTGAATTGTTAGCCCCAAAACTGGATACAGTATTCCAGCAGCAGTCACGCCAGTGCCAAATACAGAGATAAAATAACCTCCTACTCGAGATTCCCTTGTCTATGCATCCTAAGATCACATTAGTTCCTTTGGCCATAGCATCCGCCTGGGAGCTCACCTTCAGCTGATTATTCACTATGACCCCCAAATATTTTTCAGAGTCACTGCTTCCCAGTGTAGAGTCCCCATCCTGTAAGTATGGCCTACATTATTTGTTTCAATGGCCTATCTTGTACTATTTACTTTCTAGTCCCAGCACTTTTGGAAACCAATCACTTGTCTTACAGTTTGTTTGTGTATTGTTCTTTTTCTTAAAAGATACTGTTACTTTTTTTAGGTGTTAGTATAAAATCTGTGTCTCTTTGCTGACCCTTTTCACGTGATTTCAGGTGCTGTTGTCAGGATTGATTGGCGTTGTCTCATGGAAAAGGCCTCTCTCACTTGTGGTAAGTGATATTGCTTTCTTAGTCATGTCAGGCAGTTCCTTGACCTGCAATGGATGTTAAACATTTGAAACTAACATACTTAAGAACTGTGTACATCTCATTGCTTTTCTCCTTAGGCATTTGTGTAACTAGTTTCAGTAGCTTTGTGTTGTGGGTTTGAACCCATTGAATTTTCACTTTGAGTTTGGGGTCCAGTTTTGCTCAAATCTCAAAGTAAAACTGAGTCAAAACCTCCACCAGGTTTTTTTACATCAGGCAAGTTGCACATTTCACATTCAATGCAAACCAAAAACCCAATTTAGATTTGCTCAAAATTTTAGTGAAATTTAATTTGCAACTTATCTTGAGCCCAGTAGGCGTCAACTACTTTACAATTTTGTTTTGAACATTCACACAGGTCTCGTGTGGTATCCTCAGAAATTGTTATTTCTGTGTAGAATAATAAATGTTTGGGGCACACAGAGAAATTTTTACATCAGAACATTAATGAACTTGTAACTTTCAAGCTATATCCCCACCAATATCCCCAGAATATTACAAATTCTCGTAGAAGAAGACTTAAAAGGCACACTAAAAAGATACCTTTCAGCTATTTTATTGGTTTGTCTGGTCTAGTTAATGTCCCCAATAAGTAAAATAATGTCTTGCTAGTATTATTTTAAAAGAGGCTTTGTTATACCACATGCTAATTATGAATTGAATGGTTCTCATTACATATATTCATTAAAGAACCAATAAAGAGATGTGGGACTGTTTTCATCTTTAACACATTTACTATAGAATCATGGACTTTAGTAAAAAGGACCATGTTGCATACCTCTCCTTGGTTATGACCTAAAATTACATTAATCATAAAAGTTGCTGTTATTAACTAAAGAAAATAAGTGTTTTGAACATATTCTTTTTGGAAATTTATTTCCATTTAACTGATAAACATTATGTATTATTTGTCATCGTGTTAAAGCATGGTACAGGGAACCAATGAAGCTTTCTCATGTTCAAACAGGATATATCCAACCAATATTGAATAGTATTCATTTTTTATCCTTTAGATAATAATTCAGCAAGCCGAGTTTGCTGATGAGTTTAAAAAACATTTAGTAGTCCTCACTTTAATCCAAAATGGATAGTAGCCTCGGCTGAATAATTTATCATATTTCAACTTGTCAAGCAGACGATTGAGTATGAATGAATATCTAGAATATAGATATTCTCTCAACAAAAAGAGCTACCAAAATGTTTTATGGAGCCTATCCATTAATTGGATATACTTAGGGACATTCACTTAGGAAAAAAGGATTTATTTGCCAAGAGCAAATTAAAGCAAAACCTTGAACACTTTTGACTTTAGGCTACAACACTTTAGACAGAAACCAAATGTGCTTCTAGTCCTGTGTTGTACATTAAAATTTCCTAACATAACATATATAATGTGAATATTGTATTGAAATCCGAGCACTTGAAACAAAGGAGCTGTGTTGGGGGTTCTGTTTGTTTGTGACAGCAAAGGGAAAAAACACGTTTTATTGACAGTAATATAGCCATTAACAAACCTGTGATTTGTTGATAAGTCAGATTATTTTATTACTTTTTCCTTATGCTTGCAAAGGATTGAGATGGTGTTGATATTACTGAATTGAATGATTTTGCTGTTTGTGTTAACTCTTTCTAAATTTGAGCAGCAGTAGAAACCAGACATCTGTGTTGCACCAAAATAACTCTCTATTATTTTGGCTACTTTGTTGCTCTTTCAATATATAGTTAAATTCTTTAAACGTTTCAAAATCAGATTTTCCAAATTGTGCATACATTATTTGTGTGTAATTACCATGGTTATTAATGCAATTGTGTATGCCAAGTTATTGAGTATGCATTTGGCATACAGGGGTTGTACAAACACAATTCTGCAACTGTGAGCTTCTGTTTTCTGTTATCATTTGATGCTCTGGAAGCTTGTAAGAGTATTATTCCTCTCCAAAATATTTATTTAATGCTAAGGGTTAACACTGTATTTTTCTTTGTGTTTTGGTCTAACTCATGGGCTTTTTAAAAAAAGTTTACTCTTGAACAAGCATTTATGTAAGTAGGCTCCACTGCAATAGTTTTTATTGTACTGGGTATTTATTATCTTATTATTATGTAATTAGCACTGCTAGTAGATGTAGAACATGTTTTAAATCTTAATTTAATATTTTTGTGTGCATAATCAGTGCAGATATATACTTTGTTAACTTAGCTTCTTCTTCGAGTAGTGCCCCATGCGTGCTCCACTGTAGGTGTGTCTGCCCTGCGCCTAGGATTGAAGTTCTTTGGTAGCAGTGTGTGTTTCGGCTCACACATATGCTCTCCCTCTCTCTTTTTCTGCCTTGAGGCTAATTAACATTGCATGCATGAACCACCCTCAGTTCCTTCTCAGCTGCCCTTGGCCAGATACAGCTAATAGCAATCTGCTTTCTCTTACCTTAACATTCAGTTTTGTTAGCTGCTCTTACAGTTTCCATTCAATGTTCAATGTTTTTCAGTTTTATAAGGTTTCCATTAGTTTCCCCCCTGTTTAAAACAAATAGAAACAAACACACATCTTTCACACACACACACACACACACACACACACACACACCCCCGAATCCCCCAGGCATGTCTGGCTCTCCTTGGTACCAGCGAGTCAACACCGACAGACCCTGAAGGTACCGATCACCACAGTACCGCAGAAGTTCTGATTTTCCAGCAATCTTATGGTCACCAGGACTCCAGAATCCCTGTTGTGTGGTACCAGGGCCTCAGTACCCAACATGTCTTGATCCCTGGAATCACAGAGGGGCATTCACCTCCAGTCTCCTTATCAGCTCCACCACATTCCAGCCAGGACTCAGATAGTTAGAACCTTGCGCGGATATCTATGGATATAAATCAGTATCTGCAGAACCGCAGTGGTAAAAGGAACAGAATATGGGGCCTCCACTCCTGGGAGCTAGCGCCTCGCGCCAGCAGCTACTCTGCTGTGGCTGTACCACCCGCAGCTCCGCTCCCAACGCTGCCCCTGTCCCTTCCACACAGCTGTCTGCATCTCCTGTCCGGGGGCATGTGCGCTGCTTGAACGACCAGAGACAGCTGCTGGTGAGCCTGGTGCCCACCCCAGTGAGGGAGGGAAGGGCTGGGGACAGTACAGTCACACCGGAGGAACTGCCAGCTTGGGGCGCTGACTCTTGGGGGGTGGCAGCCCCAAGTTCTGTTCATTTCAGCGCTGTGGTTCCCAGGACAGCCCTGAGGTTCTGTGGATACCAGTTTATGTACGGGTAGTGACCAAGATGATGTCCTTTCACAACCTTTACACGATGGCCCAGCTTTGCACCAATGAAGGCCTTCCCAATCTCACCATCAGTCTGAGCCTTAGCCCTGTGGGTATGACCACCTGTGGATACTGCCACCTGTGCCCTTCCTCCCACCCCAGTGGCCATACTGGGATCTATGGGTGGCATACAGGCACTTAACTTTGCAGGCATCTATTGCCTCCTACCGTGAGTGTCTCCTACAGCCTCTATGTCCAAGCCCCAGAACCTTGAGAGGAAACATTTGAGGAGCAAGAGGCCAGCCTAGGAGAGGAGGCTACCCCATCAACCAGCATCTCCTACTCTTCCTCAGATTAGGCGGAGATGCCTCCACCACCGTCCATAGGGGACAACAATTAGAGGCCCAGGGACACATATATACCTACAGCACCCATAGGAGGAGACATCTCGAAGAACCATCATTGCTGTACAAGGTGGATAACTTCCTCTTTTAAGTTGTTCCAGGATCTCACAAAAAGGGTGGCAGGCACACTACAAATTCACCTTGAGGAGATTAAGATCCACAAGTTGCTGGATATATTGTGCACATCCTATTGATAATAGACCTCCCAGTTAACGAGGTGCTCCTGGATCCTGCTAAGGTCATTTGGCAAACTCCAGCCTCTATCACACCAACATGCAAAAGGGACAATAAAAAGTATTTATGTGCCCTCCAAGGATTCAGAATTCCTCTTCTCACATCCCCCACAGAACTCTATTGTTGTGGATGTGGTGAACTCACGTGGCCAACAACATCATGCTAAGGTCATCCCTTGTGATAGGGATCAGAAAAGGTTAGATCTATTTGGCCAAAAGTCATATTCCTCGGCAACTTCACAATTCCAAATTGTAAATTACCAGGCCTTAATGACAAAATAAGATCACATGAACTATGGCAAACTCCATATATTTATTGACCTTCTGTCAGAAACTCAATGGGAACAGTTTCAGACTAACATACATTAGGGACAGCTAGTGGTGAGAACGGCGCTCCAGACTTCACTGGATGCTTTGGATACTGCAGGCCATTCGGTGTCAGTGATGTTAGTGATTTGTCAGGTATCATGGCTACACCTCTTGGGATTGCCAAAGGAGGTGCAGATGACGGTCAAGGACCCTCCCTTTCAAGAGCTCCAAACTGTTTGCAGATAAGACCAGTGCATCACTCCATACCCTCAAAGACTCTAGGGCCACACTACGCTCGCTCTGGATCTACACATTGGGACAGAAAAGGAAATCCAGTCCTCCATCATCCCATAGATTCTGACTAGCTTAGTACCCACCACTGCAACACTACTATGAACCGAAGTGAAAGATGCCTAAGATTCAGAGGCATAAACCATCAGCCTCTGAATCCCAACCCTCTATTTCGAAAGATCAGTTTTGATGCTTTGGTCAAGGGCCCAAGACACCTGTCACATCATCAGCTGCAACCTACAGACCTTTCACATTCCTTTGGATGTTGCCTTGCTCTTTTCCTCCAGAATTTGAAGAAAGTGGTTTCTGACAGATAGGTCTTGGAGATTATCTCCAATGGGTATTCTATCCACTTCACCTCCCTTCTCTCCCACCCTTCTCCCTGTCCCTCTTCAGGGACGAAACTACTAAGACAGGAAACAGATCACCTCCTGTGCCTGGGAGCCTTAGAACCCGTTCCTGTACACCTCAGAG